TAAAACTGCCACCCAGCCGCATCAGGGGGGAAGCCAAGGAAGACGCAGGGAACAGCACGCGAGGACAGCTTTTTCGTAGACATCGCCAACCTTCCCCGTCCACCGCAGAGTAGGTGTGGTCTCCGGCATGGAGACCCTGGGCTGGAGGTTGAGCTGATGCGCAGCGTACTGAACCGCGAGCGACCACAGAAAATGGGGAGTAGCCGCATGGATCATGGACGTACGAGCGACGTCCATGACCATGCCAATGCAAGCTCAGCAATCCCATTCTGCTGTGAGGAGGCCGGAAGCGTGAACGTCTGGCGGATGCCTTCTGCACGACATAAGGCCTGCAGAAGGTCGGAGGAAAACTCTCCACCTCTGTCAGAGTGCAGACGCAGAACAGGAAGGTCCGAGACGAAACTCTCGCTGAGCTGAAAACGGGCAGCGCGGATCCAGTCGATCAGCACCTCAGTGACCTCACCCTTGTGGCGCAAGGGGAAGACTGTGGTGTAGCACAAGTAGTCGTCAACGACCAGCAGAAAGTAGCGCTCGTGACCCTGTCCACGGACGCGGGTTGGGCCCCACAGGTCCATGTGAAGAGTCTGCAGGGGAGCCTCTGTCAGAGGGAACTCGGAGGAGTGAGGAGCGGCACGCTGCCGGCCCTCGACACAAGGAACGCAGGTAGGGGCAGGCCCCAGGGGGAGGGGAGGGAGAGACCGGGGAAGACCAGTGACAAGGACACGGGAGGCCATACCTTGGATACGAGGCAGGGAGGGGTGACCAAGGCGGTGGTGCCAGAGGAGAGTCTGGTGAGACAGGAGGTGACACGAGCAGGGGGTAGACTTAGGACCTGACTAGGACGCCGTAGCAAACACCTGACCAGACGCGACTACCCGACCAGACCCAGTGACTGGAGAAGACACGGTAGACAGGGTGTACAGGCTCGACCCAGGCTGACGGGGAAACGTGGCCAGGTGCCGGCCCGTACGAGTACACGTACAGTGGGTCACCCGCTGACCTCCAGGAGTGAACTAGTCAACCCAGGCGTCCTGAAGGTCTGCTCCACTCACCAAGTTCGTGGAGAACGAGGGGAGGTGGAGGCCAAACAGAGAGCCAGACGGGACCGCCAGACACGGCAGAACAGTGGAGGAGTGTGCAAGGACCGGAACCCTAGAGGGAGACTGCCACTGGCCGACTGAGCGGTGAGAGTGTGGTGCAGTCGCGAAAGAAGGAACGGGAAGCACCCGAGTCAAGGGTGAAAGTGTGCAAGACCTGAGCCGACGCGGTACCTGAGAGCGCAGACTCACCAGCACCTGGAGCAGCAGACTCACTCGCACCTATAGCAGCAACCTCAATGCCCCTGTCGGGCGGAACACACAGGTAACAGTCACCCTCAACACTAACAGTCACATCATACATAGCAGCAGGATAGCATCATAATCAAGATCAAAGAAAGCAAACCCCGACCAAAGTAGATTACCCCAGCGAGGGAGCTCAGTGGCGTCAGGAAACTGCGCACGCTAGGTGTCACTCAGGCGGCTGAAACAGCGGTGTGTGACGTGCGGGCCGCCGCACGTCTCTCCACTGCGCTCGCCGGTGCCGAGAACGTAAGCGCAGGGACCAGCACCCCCAGACCTTCCACGCCCAGCGTACCACTCACGAAGCTGCTGGGGCGACAGGGCCTCACGAGAATGCTGCTGCTGCTGGCGCTGGCCACCACCAAAGCCTCCCCGCTACACAGCGCCACCCCGACCAGCACCACCGCCGCCTCAAACCCCAATGCCACAGCCGCCGCGGCCTCTACCTCCACCACCGCCACCTAAGCCCCCACTCCCGCCGCCACCCCCTCCTCCACGGCCACCACCACCGCCACCACCGCCGGCCCCGCCGTCCCCTCCACCACCCTTGCCCCCCTTGCCCTTGCTGCTGCGGCGTCTCCCACTAGGAGTAGAAGCAGCGCCGACCGACTCAGTGCCAACGAGGTCGACAGCAGCAGCAGAGGCAACAGAGGGCAAGAGGGGGACAGGGGAGCACCCCTCAATGAAAGGGGCACGAGGGTCACCACGAGAGGCTCCTACAGCAATGATACTCTTCTCAGCTGCAAGGAGGCACTCCTCGAGGAGGTCAACGGTGAGCACGGTGGGGCAAAGGGAGAGGAAGTGGTCCTTGACTGGACGAAGGGAGTCAGGGAGTCGGGTGACGAGGAAGTATAGGGTGATGTACATAGGGGGGGGGTTTCTTGGCGCAGAACTCGGCAGGAAGCGCAGCTTGGTAGTGGGTGTCACTGGTGCGGAGGTGGGTAATGAGGTCAGCGACTGTGGCAAAAGCAACGAGGTCAAGGAACACGTACGGCAGCATGAGGCGACTGAGAGCAGCAGTGGCAGGGGAGGAGTAGCGCGCAATAACAGCGTCATACATAGTCTTAGCAGTCTTGTACTGGCTAAAGTGCGCGCGCTCAGCAGACGGCAGGTGACTACGAACAGCAAGACGAGCAGCAGCATCACGCGTGGTCCACTGCGAGCGAGCTGCACTGTCAGCATCGGCAGCAGGTGCAACAGAGACACCGGACATGTGATCGAACAGTGAGACTCGCGACTACGGCAGGCTGGGCCGCGAGTGCGGCAGGGTAGGGCCGTGAGGGCGGCAGGTAGGGCCGCGACGGCGGCCGACAGGGCCGCGACGGCGGGAGGCAGGGCCGCGACGGCAGGGCCGCAACGGCAGGGCCGCAACAGCAGGGCCGCGACGGCAGGGTAGGCTCACGGGGCACAGGTGAGGCAAGCGCGAGGTGCGCGACAGGGCAGGCAGGGACGAGAGCGCGCTTCGGGCAGGGCAGGAAAAAAAAATATGTGGCGGGCCCTAAAAAAAAATTTGTCCCACTAAGGAACCCGCTCTATACCATGTGAGAATAGTACGAGGCAATGGAAATGACTAGGAAGCAGGTGGGTACAAGTAGTAAACCTAAAAGTGTTGTACCCCATGTTATCTACCCCACTATAGCCTACACAGACTATAGCATATAAGTTTGACATGTCCAAGCAAAGAAATGTGGAAGGGTTGGAGTGGTTGATCGAGAAATAGAAATTTCTTCACAAGGGTCTCGGCTTAATGGCGGTGGAGAGGTGAATGCTCTCGGAAGAATGTGATATGTTGAGGCCAAGAAATTGAGTGGCAGAGTGGAAGATAGTGACATCAAGCCTCTTTAGGATGTTCTTTTTGAAACAATCAAGGAGCTCATTGCTAGTTCTAGTGTAAAGGAGTGTCAGAGGTCCACTGGTGATCCCCGATTGATCCTAAGGAAGGGTTACAGGCACGTTGGCCTGGGGGGTGATGGGCGCACTTACCCGCTACACAAAAAAACCCTTTTATCCCAATGGTCTAGTGGTTGGGATTCTGACATGTTATCAGAGCGAAGGTCTCGGGTGCGAATCCCAGCGTGTGCACTTCTGGCATCCCAGTGCGGGGTGTCAGAGGTCCACTGGTGATCCCCGATTGATCCTAAGAAAGGGTTACAGGCACGTTGGGCTGGGGGGTTATGGGCGCACTTACCCGCTACACAAACAAGCCCTTTTATCCCAATGGTCTAGTGGTTGGGATTCTGACAAGGAGGCCATTAGCATAGGTGACGAGTAGAATGTAGTCATCGTGGTGCTCGAGGCAGTACATGCCTTAGTCGGGCGACAATTGTTGGAAGCCGAGTGAGATTAGGACGGCATGGAGATATTGCTGCCACAAGCGAGGAGCTTGTTAGATGTTGTAGTAGGATTTTTGAAACAGGCACATCTTAAATGTGTCTTCTTCGAAGGCGTGTGGATATTTAAAAAAGACTATGGCATTTACAATGGCGTATATGAAGGTGTTCTTCACGTCGATTCGACGAAGGCTAGTTGCTTGGCGGTGGAGATGCAGAGCAGCATCCGGACTGAGGTGTGGCGGCTAGCAGGTGCAAATGTCTGATCGTGGTCTATGCCATCGATTTGTTCGAAGCCCTATACCACCCATCGTGCCTAGTATTTGTTTTTACGTAGAAGCCCCACTTCCCACTTCACATCTTGACTTCCTCTCGCGGCTGATCGTGGGACCAGCAAATATGTTTCGCGCCGCTGGAGCACCTCCACTTTGGCATTCATGGCTTCTCGCCATTTTAAATTGCCTGGTCCTTGCAAAGATAAGCGGACAACCATGGGCCCCCTGTGTCAGGCATATATGCTATAGTCTGTGTAGGCTGTAGTGGGGCAGTTCATATGGGGTACAACACTTTAGGGTTTACTACTTGTACTCCTCATTCTGCTCAATGCATTCATTCTTCGTTTCTTATCATGGTATCGAGCAGGTTCCCTAGTGGGAACGCTACCTAGGGCCCACCACGATATTTTTTTTCCTGCCCGGAGCACGCTTCACTCCTGCCCGAGTCGCGCTATGTGTGCCCTCCCTACCTTCGCGCCGCCCTTAGCGGCCCCTTTCGGCCCCTCGCGGCGCCCTTTCCGGCCCCTTACGGCCCCATCGCCGCCTCGTTTAGGCCTCTTGCGGCCCCTCTTCGGCCCCGTCTAGGCCCCTTGCGACCCCTCTACGGCCCCGTCTAGGCCCCTTACGGCCCCTCTGCGGCCCCGTCTAGGCCACTTGCGGCCCCGTCGCCGCCACCTGTGGCCCCGCCACCACCTGCGGCCCCATCGCCGCCACCTGCGGCCCCGTCGCCGCCACCTACAGCCCCGTCGCCGTCACCTGCGGCCCCGTCGCCCTCCCCTAGCGGCCCTGTCACCGCTCAGCCGCCCAGCGACCGAGCCGCCGAGCAGCCCAGCAGCCGAGCCGCCCACCTGCCGAGCAGCCGAGCCGCCCAGCAGCCGAGTCGCCGAGCAGCCGAGCCGCCCAGCAGCCGAGCCGCCCAGCAGCCGAGCCGCCCAGCAGCCGAGCCGCCCTACCGCCGAGCCGCCCTACCGTCGAGCCGCTGCTATTCCTACCGGTGCTCCCCGGCCCTCCTTCCTCGGACTAGTGAGCTCACTCCCTACTAGGCCACTGCAGTCATGGCTACCCCAAGTGTCCTTACTTTTGATGCTGAGGGCCGTGCCGTTGACTTTGAGGTCTGGGTCGATGACCTCCAGCTGTTTCTCCAGTGCGATAGGGCAGACGGACTCTCTCTGTTCGATCTCACCTCTGGTGCCTCTCCTGCCCCGCCTGCTACTGCTGACAGCACTGTTCGCTCACAGTGGGCCACATGCGATGCTGCTGCTCGCCTTGCTGTGCGTCGCCACTTACCGACCACTGCGCGAGCACACTTTAGCCAGTACAAGAGTGCTAAGACGCTGTAGTTGCACGCTACTCTTCCCCTGCCACTGCTGCACTGAGCTGCCTCATGCTACCGTACCTCTTCCCTGACCTTGCTGCCTTTCCCAGTGTCGCTGACCTCATTACGCACCTCCGCACTAGTGACACTCGCTACCGCGCTGCGCTTCCTGCTGAGTTCTGCACCAAGAACCCCCTCCCCCCATGTACATCACCCTCTACTACATAGTCACCCGGCTCCCTGACTCTCTCCGTGTAGTCAGGGACCACTTCCTCTCATTTTGCCCCACCACTCTCACCGTTGACCTCCTCGAGAAGGCCCTCCTAGCAGCAGAGAAGAGCAGAGTCGCTGTAGGAGCCTCTCGTGGTGACCCTCGCACCCCCGTCTTTGAAGGGTGTTCCCCCTCCCCCCTCTTGCCCTCTGTTGCCTCTGCTGCTGCGGCCGACCTCGTTGGTTTCGAGTCGGTCGGCGCTGCGCCTGCCCCGAGCGGGAGACGCCGCACCGGCAAGGGCAAGGGGGGCAAGGGCGCTGGAGGGGCTGGCGGGGGCGGTGGAGGTAGTGGTGGAGGCAGTGGAGGGAGTGGGGGTGGTGGTGGGAGTGGTGGCGGGGGTGGAGGTGTCGGTGGCAGCAGTGGAGGCGGATGAGGCGGCGGCGGTGGCGGAGGGAGCGGAGGCGGCGGAGGTGGTGGAGGCGGTGGAGGCGGCAGAGGTGGCGGAGGCGGCGGCGGCAGCAGTGGACCTGGTCGCAGCTCTGCGCAGAGGAGTGGTTCTGGTGGTGGTACGCGCCAGCAGCAGCAGCGCAGTCGTGAGACCCTGTCCCCTCAGCAGCTTCGTGAGTGGTACGCTGCCCGTCAGCGCGGTGGGGGTACGGGTCCCTGCACCTACGTTCTCCGCAGCGGCGACCGCGCTGGTGAGTAGTGCGGGGGCCCGCACTCCACCCAGCGCTGCTTCGGCCGCCTGACGGACGCGTGGCGTCACCAGTTCCCTGAGGCCTCTGAGATCCCTCGCTGGGGAGAGCTGTCTAGGGCGGGGGTTGCTATCTTTGATCTTGATTTTGATGCTATTCTTGTTGCCATGTATGCTGTTGCTGATAGTGTTGAGGGTGACTGTTACCTGTGTGTTCCGCCTGACCCGGGCATTGAGCCTGCTGCTCTAGGTGCTGGTGAGGCTGCTGCTCTAGGTGCTAGCGCATCTGCTGCCCCAGGTGCTGGTGAGTCTGCCCTCTTAGGTACCACGTCGGCTCAGGCCTTACACACCTTCACCCTTTACTCGGGTGCTTCCCGCTCCTTCTTTCGAGACCGCACCACGCTTACGCCGCTTAGTCGGCCGGTTGCGGTCTCCGTGGCGGACCCCTCTGGGGGTCCTTTCCTTGCTAGCTTCTCCACTGTCTTACCGTGCCTGGCAGCCCCCTCTGGCACCCTGTCAGGTCTCTACCTCCCCTCGTTCTCTACGAACTTGGTGAGTGGAGCTGATCTACAGGATAGGGGGGTTCACCACTTCACGCCTGCGAGTCAGCGGGTGACCCACTGCATGTGTGCTCGGACAGGCCGACATTTGGCCACGTTCACCCGTCGGCCGGGGTCGAGCCTGTACACACTTACTACTGAGTCTCCTCCGACTGCTGAGTCTTGTCCTGTCCCACCAGACTCTCCTTTGGCACCACCGCCTTGGTCACCCCTCCTTGCCTCGTCTCCGAGGCATGGCCTCCAGTGTCCTTGTCTTTGGTCTCCCCAGGTCTCTCCCTCCCCTACCTCCGGGGCCTGCCCCTACCTGCGTCCCCTGCGTCGAGGGGCGACAACGCGCCGCCCCTCACTCCTCCGAGTTTCCTCCGACAGAGTCTCCGCTGCAGACTCTTCACAGGGACGTGTAGGGCCCTGCCCGCGTCCGTGGATAGGGGCACGAGCGTTACTTCCTGTTGGTGGTTGATGACTACTCGGGTTACACCACAGTCTTCCCCTTGGGCAGCAAGGGTGACGTCACTGAGGTGTTGATCGGCTGGATCCGCGCAGCTCGTCTCCAGCTCAGAGAGAGTTTCGGCTCGGACTTTCCTGTTCTGCGTCTGCACTCTGACAGAGGCGGGGAGTTTTCCTCTGCCCGTCTGGGAGCCTTCTGTCGTGCACAGGGCATCCGTCAGACCTTCACGCTTCTTGCCTCTCCACAGCAAAATGGGATTGCTGAGCGCCGTATTGGCATGGTCATGGACGTCGCTCGTACGTCCATGATCCATGCGGCTGCCCCCCATTTTCTGTGGCCGTTTGCGGTTTAGTACGCAACGCATCAGCTCAACCTTTAGCCCCGGGTCTCCCTGCCTGAGACCTACCCCACCTTGCGGTGGACGGGGAAGGTTGGCGATGCGCCTGCGTTTCGGGTCTGGGGATCTCGGGCGTTTGTCCGCGACTTGTCTGCGGACAAGCTGTCCCCCCGTGCTGTTCCCTGCGTCTTCCTTGGCTTCCCCCCAGGCGCGCCTGGTTGGCACTTTTACTACCCCACCTCGCGCCGTGTTCTGTCCTCCAAGGACGTCACCTTTGACGAGTCGGTGCCTTAATACCGTCTCTTCCCCTACCCCGCCGCGCCCCTTCCCCCGCCGCCGCTCTTCCTTGCACCAGGTCCTCCCCTTGTAGACCCCCTCCCACCTCAGGGTCCTGCCCCGTCAGGTGTGTCCCAAGTAGACGCAATCGAGCCTGTCGAGGTAGCTGTTGACTCTGCTGCTGCTAGAGGTGCTGAGCCTGCGGGTGCCGGATCTGGGGGTGCTGAGCATGGGGGTGCTGCGCCTAAAGGTGCTGAGTCTGGGGGTGCTGAGTCTGGAGGTGCTGAGCCTGGGGGTGCGGAGCCTGGGGGTGCGGAGCCTGGGGGTGCGGAGCCTAGGTGCGCTGGGTCTGCTCGTGTGGCAACCGGCGGTGCTTCGTCGAGGCGGGAGCCACTCTCTCCACAGGATCTGCGCGAGTGGTTTGCCCCGCGCTGGAGCCGTGCTGCTGGAGCTGGAGGTACTACTGTTGCTCCTGGTCCCGAGGGTGCTCGTACTGGAGGTGCTGGAGCAGCTAGGCCTGGGGGTGCTGCTGGGGCTGCTCGAGTTGGTCCTGCTGGAGCTGCTGGCGGTACTGGAGCTGCCGGTCCTGCTGGAATTGGTGCTGCTGGAGCTGGAACTGCTGGGGGTGTTGACGCTGGTGGTTCTACTGGCACTGGTGCGTCTGAGGGTGCTGGAGTTGGCACTGTTGGAGCTGGAGGTGCTGCTGGCGCTGGTGCTGCCATTGGGGGTACTGGTGCTGTCCTTAATGGTTCAGGAGGCGCTGCGCGACCGCGGCCGTACTTCGTTCCGCTCCTTGAGCAGGTTCTTGGTCTCCCGCCTTCTACTGGTCCTGCTCCTCCCTTAGAGTGTCCACAGCATGTCCAGTCGCAGTCACAGTTACAGCTCGCCTCCCCTTTACCTGCTCCTTCTCCCTACACTGGTCCTACTGGAGGTCTTGCTGAGCGTCGTGAGCCTGCGTCTCGTCCTGCGTCGCCTGTTCGTGCTGCTCGCACTAGTCGTCGTGCTCTGCGTCCTCCTGCGGTCCCAGGCACACACAAGATGGCACTGCGTCCTTCCACTGCTCCTCTGCGTGTCCCGTTGCCGTCCCCTCCAGAGTCCTCTCTTCCTGTGCTTGCTGACCCGGAGTCTGACTCTCTTCGTGCTGCCAGTCCTACTGTCACGCGTCTCCTGGCCACTGTTGTCAGTGACCCTTCCTTTGAGTCCACTGCTGCGTCTGCCTTAGTGGCTGAGCTTGTCGACTTCGCTGCTCGCTGTCGTCTAGACTAGGCCACTAGTCTTGTTGCTGAGTCCGAGTCTGTCTGTCCTCCGTCCGTCGGGGGTGAGTGTGCTCTTAGCACGGACGTCCTTGAGGACAAGCAAGAGGAGTTCCACTGTTTTGCTGCTGCTTTGCCTCATCTCGTGTCCACGCTGATTGCCCCTGAGGGAGACCCGGATGCACCAGACATCCTGACTCCTCGATCGTACGCTGAGGCGATCGAGGGTCCCTACTCCTCTCAGTGGCAGTCAGCCATGGACGCAGAGATGGCTTCCTGGAAGTCCACAGGCACCTACGTCGACGAGGTTTCCCCACCTTGGGCGAACATCGTCAGTGGCATGTGGATTTTCAGGGTGAAGCGGCTGCCGGGTTCTCCGCCTGTCTTCAAGGCGCGTTATGTGGCTCGAGGCTTCAGTCAGCGGCAGGGAGTTGACTACTTTCAGACCTTCTTTCCCACCCTGAAGATGACCACTCTTCGGGTGCTGCTGCACATAGCCGCTCAGCGCGACTACGAGCTTCACTCTCTTGACTTCTGCACAGCTTTCCTGCAGGGCAGTCTGCACGAGGAGATCTGGCTGCGCCGCCCACCTTGCTTCACTGGGTCGTTTCCTCCTGGTACCTAGTGGAGCCTTTGGCGGCCAGTCTACACACTGAGGACTACACTTGCGGCTCTTGGGTTTGCTCTTTCTACAGCCGACCTGTCGCTGTTTCTGCACACCGACACCTCTTTGCCCCCGTTCGACATCCTCGTGTACGTCGACGACTTGGTCTTTGCCACTGCTGACACTCCTGTACTCGCCCACGTGAAGTCCGAGCTGCAAAAGAGACACACGTGCACATACCTGAGTGAACTGCGCAGCTACCTTGGCTTGCAGATCACCCAGGACAGAGCACAGCGCACCATTACCCTGACTCAGTCACACATGGTGCAGCAGGTCCTTCAGCGCTTCGGCTTCACGTACTCCTCGCCTCAGGCCACTCCTCTGTCTACTCGCCACTCGCTCTCACCTCTGCCTTCGGATGAGTCCGTAGAGCCGAGTGGCCCGTACCCAGAGCTTGTTGGCTGCCTCATGTACCTCATGACCTGCACACGACCTGACCTTGCATACCCTCTTAGCATCTTGGCACGCTATGTTGCTCCTAGGAGACACCGACCAGAGCACATGGCTGCAGCGAAGAGGGTGTTGCGCTACTTGTGCAGTACGTCGGGCATGGGGCTAGTGCTTGGAGGGGGACGTCGAGTGGTCCTCACAGGTCACGCAGACGCTTCTTGGGCTGACGACCAGCCGACACAGCGGTCGTCACAGGGTTACACCTTCAGCCTTGGCTCCGGCTCTGTGTCGTGGCGGTCTACCCGCTCGTCTTTTGTTCTCACCTCCAGCTGTGAGGCTGAGATCTACGCGGGGGCCATGGCTGCATAGGAGCTACGCTGGCTCACCTACCTGCTGACTGACCTAGGAGAGCCGCCTCGTTCTCCTCCAGTTTTGTACGTAGACAGCAAGGCCATGCTGGCCTTGTGTCGGGAGCACCGCTTGGAGCACAGAACGAAGCACATTGCTCTTCGCTACTTCCTGGCTTGTGAGATGCAGCAGCGTGGTCAGCTCCGCCTCACCTACGTGGCCTCTGAGGCCAACACTGCTTATATCTTTACCAAGGCCCTTACGCCTTGTGATCATCAGCGCGTCTGTGCTATGCTAGGTCTTGTGCCTACTTGGCCTCACTTGCTCACTTCTTGACCTTGTTGGTACTGTACACTTTCTATACCTGCACTTGCTTGTTTACCTTTATATATATGATCTTGCATGTGAACTAGCCTTGTGGCCTTGCTCTTGTGCTCGGACTGTGTGGTGACGTTGTGATCCACCCTGAGCTTGCTTTGCTTTGCTTGACTGGTCTTGTGACCCCTTGTTCTCCCCCACTTTGCCTATGGGGGTGTGTCAGGCATATATGCTATAGTCTGTGTAGGCTGTAGTGGTGCAGTTCATATGGGGTACAGCACTTTAGGGTTTACTACTTGTACTCCTCATTCTGCTCAATGCATTCATTCCTCGTTTCTTATCACCCCGAGCATGGAAGACTAATTAGTGCTGATGGCGAACTTCAGGATGCAAAGTCCGGTTTCGCTGGTAACTCCGATTACGTCATCACCATCGTCAATGGCTTAAATGGATAACTCAGCATCGGAAGATCATCGTGCTTCATTGATGTAGTTGTGGGCTTCTTGAGTTATACCGTCGGAGTCGTGCTGAGAGATAAGGATGAAGGTTGGGGTTCGCATTGGGTTTTAAAACCCATGTTTGTATAAGGTTCGTCAGGTCAGTCATCGGGTGCGTCATTTGCTGTGTCGACCTTATCTTGTGATGGGCAAATTTATGTTGATCAATGAAGATGTTATTTGGAGCCTCCTGTGTTTCGTGGTGCTGTTGAACAGCAGCAACGTTGGTGTTTTGTAGAAGATGTAGTAGCGCGATTTTGTCGATTCATGTGTCGCGTATTCCAGGACGAGGTGAGGTTGAAACTCGTTTGATTTCCTGAACACGCTCGGTCATTAAATTTTCAGGTTCAAGCGGCGTGGGGTCAGTACACTGCTATGCATTTGAAGTCTTGAAGCAAGTGGGTGTCAGACATATATGATATAGCCTATGTAGGCTGTAGTGGGGTAGACAATAGGGGGTACATTTTTTATAGGGTTTCATACTTGTACCTTTCACATTCCTAGTCAGTTCATTCCTCGTTCTTATTCTCACATGGTATTAGAGAAAAATCGTTCCTAGGGCCCACCGAACGTTCCGCCCTAACCCTAACTGATTTTTTTTTATAGCTGCCCCTGCGGCCGCGCTGCCCTTGCAGCCCGCGTGCTGCCCCTGCGACCGTGCTGCCACTGCAGCCGTGTCTGCCCTTGCAGCCGTGCCTGCCCCTGCAGCCGTGCTTGCCTCTGCAGCCCGTGGGAGCTGCCCCTGCAGCCCGCGCGCCGCCCTCCCGAGCAGCTGTGCCTGCCCCTGCAGTCGTGCCTGCCCCTGCAGCCGTGCCTGCTCCTGCAGCCCGTGGGCGCTGCCTCTGCAGCCGTGCCTACCCCTGCAGCCCATGGGCGCTGCCTCTGCAGCCGTGCCTGCCCTTGCAGCCCGTGGGCGCTGACCCTGCAGCCATGCCTGCCTCTGCAGCCCGTGGGAACTGCCTCTGCAGCCCACGCGCCGCCCTAAACCGTGCTCGTCACGACGACCCTTCGGTGTTAGAGACTAAGGACGGAGTCTATGAAGATTAGGTGCCTAAATTTCTCAAAATCATTGGTCTCTATTTCTGGACATAATAGTCGCGCTCACAAGAAACGCCGTCGGCAGAAAGTTCACGGTCAAAACTTCACCAAACTCAGATATAATGTAGCCCTTGTCCGTGGCTACAATTCCCAATTTGAATCGTATCAAGAGGTGAAGTAAATCTCGACTTATCAATTTCGGCGCACAGGGGGGTATGCTTCCATAAGAACTTAACTCAATCACAAGAGTCTCACACAAGTTCACACAAGAGAATTAGAGTAGCACTAAACCAGGTGGAAGCGATGAGGAGGACGAGAGGGAAGGTCCCAAGAGAGTCCCCAACCAAGGAAACCCCATGCCACACAATTCCTTTCCCTATAGGCAACCCAACTTTGACCTTTGTCACTCTCCCAACCTCCACAATCCACCTCAACCCAAATTGGCCACACTTGCCAACCTGGTTTGGTTTCTCCCAACCATTTGGCAGCATCTATAGTGATGGGTACGTTTTTCCCAACCCCCACAAGTCTATAACCCATATTGAGTCAACCCCACAACTTAACATAGTCACCACAACCAAACACGAAAATCTTGTTCGTGCTCCGATTGAAGCGATCCTTGGCTTGTCGGAAA